ACTTGAGCCACAGCTCTACTTCCAGCTTTTTTGGTGCTTAATTGGAGGTGAGAGTCTCACAGACTTTCCTACCTGGTCTGGCTTTGAGTTGTGATCCTCAGATCTCATTCTCTTGAAAAGCTAGGATTACAGGTGTGAGCCACCTGTATCTAGCTTAGTGAAAACTTTTTTTATAAGAATTATGATCATGAAAATTAAGGTGATTAACCCTTGTATTGCAGGATTTGAGTATCCAAACTCTTAAAAATAGTTTTTTATTTGCTGAAATTGTTTTAGGAAGGGAGAAAGGAGTAAGACTAGTAATAGAAAGTGAGAAATTGAGTGGGAATGTCACAAGGAAAGCCTCTCCTTGTTTAGCTAATGTTGTACTTGCCAGGTACTGGTGGCTCATACCTTCAATCCTAGCTACTTGATGACTGAGAGCTGGAGGACTATAGTTCAAAGCCAGATGGGTCACAAGTCTTCAGGACTCCATCTCCAAAATAACCAGCAAAAAGCAGTTGGAGAGGTGGCTCAAGTAGTAGAGCCCTCGCAAAGCAAGCAAGAACAAGCTGAAGACTTAGACTTCCAAATCCTACTACTGCCCCCCCCCCCAAAAAAAAAAAAAAACTTTCCTGCCAAGCCATTTTTCCTGACCTGCTTTGAATCATTTCTCTATAGATTTCCACAGCTTAAAGAGGAGTATCTTAGAAAAGGGGGAAACAGCTTAGTGCTGGAGCAATTACTTCATTTTCATGATCCCCGGCCCACACCCACAAAAACTGATTATTGACATATTGTTCAGAAATGTATTGAAAATAGAACAATGAAATCTGTTAAATCATTTTAGGAAGGAGAGAAGAGGGTAAAAGGAGTGAAAGTGACTGGAATACATTGTATTCTGCTACACATGTGTCTTGTAAAATGTGTTAGAGATGTCTCAAGTTTTCCCCACTAATGTATGCTAAGAGTAATAAAGAATTGTCTACTGGCATGTAGCGTGCAACCATTGATGTTTGAAAAACAGATATATGGATCACATGCTCGTGTGATGTATTTGTTTCTAGGTTTTTGAGGGAAAGGTATTTGAGCCTGGACTCTGGTGGCTCATGCCTATATTCCTAACTACTCAGGAGGCTAAGATTTGAGAGTCACAGTTCAAAGTCATCCCAAGCAGGAAAATCCCTGAGACTCTTATCACCAAGTAAGCAACAAAAAAAGCTGGAAGTGGATATGGCTTAAGTGGTAGAATGCTAACAATGAGTCAGAAAGCTCAGGGACAGTCTCCTGGACCTGAATTCAAGCCCTAGATCTGGCCCACAGAAAAAGGAAGGAAGGAGGAAAGGAACCATACGTTTTTTTGGTTGGTTGGTTGGTTGGGTTTTTTTTTTTTTTTTTTTTTTGCTTTTTTAGAAGGGGAACAATTGATTGGGATTGAAACTATAGCTTTGTACATGCTAGGCAAGAGCCGTAGGGCTCATCTATATGTTACAGATCCTTTAATTGCATTGTATATTGTGAAAGTCAGAGTGTTGGCTTTGATTTTGTGTGGTCAGAGTAATTGTCTTCAATTTCTGATTGTGCCATAGTAATGTCTAGTTTAGCTGGATATGGTTACCGAGGAGTATAATCCCAGCACTCAGGAGGCTGAGGCCCGGGGATAGTGAGTTGGAGGTGAGCCTGGACTATATAGACAAGTGAGAAGCCAGGATGTTTCAGCTTCCCTTACACCCTCCCCCCAGCTGCAAGCAATCTAATTAATTTGTAATAAACATAAAATTTGCTGAGATAACCTCTTATGTTATTTTCCATTAAACCAAGTAGTTTGTATATAGCTCTATTTTATAATGTTTACTCATGAAATCAGCATTTGGAACATACTTTCCATGTTGTTGAGGGAAATATCTCCTCAAAATTGTGTACCAGGTAACCTAGATGATTTTTTTTCCCAGTCCTGGGGATTTGAACTCAGGGCCTGGGCACTGTCCCTGGGCTTCTTTTGAGCTCAAGGTTAGCACTGTACCACTTGAGTTACAGTGCCACTTCCAGCTTTTTCTGCATATGTGGTACTGAGGAATTAAACCCAGGGCTACATGCATGCTAGGCAAGCACTCTACCCTAGATAATCTTTAAATACTATTTTGTTGTTGTAGTTTGAACTCGGGGCCTGGCACTGCCCTTGAGCCTTTCTGCAGGAGGCTGGCAGTCTACCACTTGAACCACACTTCACTTCAAGCTTTTTTGTTGGTTAATTAGAGATAAGAGTCTACCACTTTTCTGCTTGGGATGGCTTTGAACTACAATCATCAGATCTGAGCCTCTTGAGTAAATATTGTCTTTATTAGGGATTTAGACCTTTTTCCTCCCTATGGGCTTCCTTTTTTTTTTTTGTCCTAGTTGCCTGTATTTTTTTCTCTATGGCATTTAGTTTTTCTTAATGAAATATGTACATGTTCATAATGTACATGTTCATAAGTATGCACTTAGACATATTTACATAAACTATAAAGACATAAAAAGCAAACCCTGTGTATTTAACTATAGTTTAAAAAATAGAATGTAAAGTTAAAGAACTCTTGTATGTTCATCCTGATCTCATCTCTTCCCTCCCTTCTCTTCCCATTTTGTCGTCCCCTTTCCTCCTTCCCTTCCCATTTCTTCTTCCCTCTAAACCATCCCATCCTCTTTTTAAAATTAGCAAAGATTTATTTAGTTAGTATGTCAGGGCAAAGTTGGGAGAAATAGAAAGGGGAAAAAAAACATTCCTCCGCAGGAATGGCAACAGAGAAACTCCTGTTTTTTTTTTCTTTCTCTTTTTTTTTTTTGGGTGGTTGTGGGGCTTGAACTTGTGGCCTGGGTGCTGTCTGAGCTCTTTTTTGCTCAGGGCTAGTACTCTACCACTTTGATCCACAGCACCACCTCCAGCCTTTTCTGTTTTGTTTTTGTTTTTCTGATGGTTAATTGGAAATGGAAGGCTCATGGAATGTTCTGCCCGTGCTGTGATCCTCAGGTCTCAGCCTCCTGACTACTAGGATTATAGGCGTGAGCCACCATCGTCTAGCTCTTTCTTGGTTTTGTTCTGTGAAACTCAGTTTTTGCCTCAGCTTCTGCAGTAGTTAGGATTTCTCATATATGATGTCACTTCTGGCTACCTTCTTCCTTTGATAAGTGTTCTATATCTTAAACATGCTTCTAGATTTTTAACCTACTTCTAGATTTCTTTAAATTTATCTTCAGCCAGTCCTGGAGCTTCAACTCAGGGCCTGGTCACTGTCCCTGAGCTTCTTTTGCTCATGGCTAGCACTCTACCACTTAAGCCACAGTGCCAATTCTTTGTATGTGGTACCAGGACTTCATGCATGCTAGGTAAGCACTCTACCACTAAGCCACATTCCCAGCCCCCTACTTCTGGGTTTTTAAAACTACTTGTTCTCTAGATTGGCTGTTGCTTTTTACTGTATTGTGTTATCTATAGATGTAGATCTCAAGTCTGGTATTGGTTTTTGAGAACAGGTCACAATATTTTATTTTGTTTTGTTTTCTTTTGGGTCCGGTCGTGGGGCCTGAACTCTGGGCCTGGGTGCTGTCCCTCAACTCTTTCATCTCAAGGCTAGCGCTCTACCACTTGAGCCACAGCGCCACTTCCGGCTTTTTTCTTTTTGCTTATGTGGTGCTGAGGAATCGAACCCAGGGCCTCAGGCATGCAAGGCAAGCGCTCTACCACTGGGCCACCTTCCCAGCCCAGGTCACAATATTTTTAAGGCTGGCCTTGAACTCACTATATAGTCCAGGCTGGGCACCAATGGCTCACACCTCTAATCCTAGCTATTCTGGAGGTTGAGATCTGAGGATAGCGGTTCAAAGCCATGTGGGGCAGGAGAGTCGATGAGACTCTTATCTCCAATTAACCACCAGAAAACTGGAAGTGGCTCTCAAGTGGTAGAGCACCAGCCTTGAGCTGAAGAGCTGAGGGACAGTGTCCAGGCCCGGAGTTCAAGCCCCACAGCCAACAGAAAAAAACAAAAACAAAAAACAACTTGAGGACTTAGCCTTAGCCTTCTGAGTATAGGGATTAGGATGATTCCATCTGGTCATCTTGCCAGATAATGAGCCAAACAAAAAGGCAAAATAAAAGTGATCACCTCATCTGAAGCATTGTATTGGTTTTTTTTTCTGTCAGCCTCTATGCTTTCATTCAGTATAAGAACAAGTGATGATGCACTAATGCCCTTTCAAATATTTCTTTTTTCTTTTTGAGGAGACAGTGCTAGGGATTGAACTCGGGGCCGTACATGGCTAAGTAAGCAAGCATTCTTTTATCATTGAGCTACATTACCAACCCAAGTTACTGTCTTTTATGGCTTGAATCTGGGTACAACCTGTTAGAGTTGCCAAACCTGTTGTGTCCTATAATGAGGAGTTTAGTCTTTTGACCTATTTTTCTGAACTTAGTTGTATAAGAAAGAAAATCCTAATATAAAGTGAGTTGAATTTAAGTGATATTTCTGATTTTCTCTTGTAGTCTATTTGATTGGTATGCCAATTCATTTGTGTGTATTATAACTTAATATTTCCTACTTCTTGGTTTGGATATGGCTAATTAATCTGAATCTACATATTAAGTATTTTTGATGTCTTTGGGATTTTGGCAATATTACTGGAGTAATATTTACTTTGCTAAATAGGTTGAATGAAATGATTGTAACAATTATGTATTTTCTTTAGAGCTCAGTTCCCCAAAAATTATAAAAGCAGGAAAACTCAAGACAAAGAAATCCAACAAGGTATGTATTTATAAGAAATGATTCTTAACTATATTAATTTTGCAAGTTCTTTGGGAACTAACTCATAAAATTATTATACATGTTTTCTTCTAATTATATCATTTATGTTCATTTAAAGATACTCATAATCCCCATATGCCACTATCATATGAATCTCAATTTAATTAAAATCATTAAATTCTTGAAGTTTGATCATAAGACCAAAATATTTTTATTTTAATATGTTCTGTGTGAAACATTTGAATTAATGGAGAAACACTGAATTAATTTGGCAAAGGTCTACATATAATTACATGTAGATGATTTTTAAAATTATTAACACTTTGAGCAAATAGTTTTTCTATTTAAAAATTCTAAATATTTGCAGGCATAATACTTATTTGTTACTTTTTAGGCCAGTGATTTCAGTGATATGGCAAATTGGCCAACACCAGGTGAATTAGTGAACACTGGAGTAAGTATTATTTTAAGACATTTTTACATAAAAAAATAAACAGTAGCATGTTCTCATTTCAACATGTAGAATTTACTTAAAATCTAAAGAAAGCTGGGTATCATGGTATATGCCTGGAGTCCCAGCACTTGGGAGGCTGAGGTAGGAGGGTGTGATAGGGAGATTATGTCTAAACAACAACAAGCAACTTTCTTTCTCCAGGTCTGAAATCTAAAGAATTACTGCCATGAAGGACATAAAGACTTGATTAATCATTAAGATTACTGTTTTGTTTAACAGTTATCCTGTGGTGCTGCTGCCTATAGTATTAGTAACCTGGTAGCTTCAAATGTATCCAGAGTAAACTTTGCCTATTTTTCAGTAATAATTTTAGCACATATTAAAAATTATGTCAAAATATTTTATTACTTCCATTATTACTATTACATTGCAATAATGACAGTACATTTTTGTTACTATTACATTGTTACTAATATAATTTGCCAGTAATATTATTATTTGCTTGAACTCAGGGGCTTCCTCCTCAGCCTTCTTGCTCATGGTTGATTGTTTACTGCTTGAGCTGCCTGCAGCCCGGGTTTTGGTTGATTAATTGGCGATCTGGGTTGGCTTCAAATTGAGATCCTCCTGGTCTCAGTTGCTTGATTATAGTTGTGAGCCACTGGCAGCTGCCTCAAAATGTTTTTGTGAGTCTGTATAACCTGACATTTACCCTTTTTATAATTGTACTCAATCCAGATACATTATTTCATTTACATGTACTCATCTAGAATTCTTCGGAGGTGACCTTACGTTTGCATGTGGTAGAGGCATATGGTTGTCATCATTCTGTAATACTTACAATAGAGTGTGTGTGTGTGTGTGTGTGTGTGTGTGCGCGCGTGCGTGCATGCGTGCGTGCACACACCAGTGCTGGTGCTTGAACTTAAGGCCCCTTTCTCACATAACTTTATCAGTCAAGGCTGGCACAATACCACTTGAGCCTCAGCTCTGCTTTATTGCTGGTTAATTGGAGATAAACATCTCAGATATGTCTGCTTAGGCTGGCTTCAAACCTCAGTTCTCAGATCTCAGACTTCTGAGTAGCTAGGATTATAGGAGTGAGCCATCAGTGCTTGATGAAGCCTATTTTATATATTAAAATTTGTGCTGTTATGTTTATATTTTCTTTATAATCTTCAATATATGTTAAAGTGCTAACTACACACATATACACATGGGTGCATGCATATGTATAAATGAATGTGCAATTGCTAGGTGGTGGCGGCTCACACCTCTAATCTTAGTTACTAAGGAGGATGAGATCTGAAAATCATGGTTGAAAGCCAGCATGGGCAGGAAAGTCCTTAAAACTCTTTTCTCCAGTTAACAACTAGACAACCAGAAGTGGAGCTGTAGCTCAATGTGGTAGAGAACTGGCTTTGATCAGAAAAGCTCAGGGACAGCTCCCAGGCCCTGAGTTCAAGCCCCATGACCTAAAAAGGGAGAGAGAGAAAGAGAGAGAGAGAGTGTGTCGGTGTGATCCATGGACTTTTCCCTTTGAATCAGGTAGAATTTCACCATATAACCCAGGCTGTCCTCAAACTCATGATTCTTTTATCTTAGCCTCCTATGTGCTTGGATTTCCACACTTGACCAACTATGAAAGGTGCTACTAAAATATCCCACCAAGGGCTTCTCAGAGGAGTACCATATATTTATCTGGCTGGCTTCATTTTTTTCATTTGACGCTATCCTCCTTTTCACTCTGTCAATGCGCAGTATCATTGGTATATATTAAATAACTTAATTGAAATATGACATAGAATAAACTGCATATAGATACATGAAATACATAACTTGTAAGGTTTGGCCTAAAAACCATCTCCAGAATCAAAATAAAAACCATTGTCTTCAAAAGTTTTCTTAGGACTTGTCTTGCATGCATGAGGCCCTGGGTTCGATTCCTCAGCACCACATAAGAAGAAAAAGCTGGAAGTGGAGCTGAGTGAGGGACAGTGCCCAGGCCCAGAGTTTAGGCCCCACAACCAACCAAAAAAAGTTTTCTTATACCCTTTTGTAATTCTCCCTGTCCCATCCATCTTCACTATCTTAGCTGCCACTAATATGTGGTCACTATGAATTAATTTGCATTTTCCATATATGTAGATTTGTGTGGTAGTTAAAACCATAGTTTGGGACAGATGCTGGTGGTCTTCTCCTGTAATCGTAGCTACTCAGAAGGCTGAGATCTGAGGATAATAGTTCAAAGCCTGCCTGGGCAGAAAAGTCCCTGTGAGACTCTTAACTCCAATTAACTATCAGAAAACCAGAAGTGGTCCTGTGGCTTAAAGTGGTAGAAAGCTAGTCTTGAGTGCAAAAGCTCAGGGACAGTGCCCAGGCTCTGAGTTCAAGCCCCATAACTGACTCCCCCCCCCCAAAAAAAAAAAAATCAGTTTTTTCCTTCGTTATACAGAGGTTTGGATTTAATGCTTCATGCCGTTGGGCAAGTGTACTGTTCTGCTGTTTGAGCCACATCTCCAGTGTCTATTCACTTATTTTAGATGGACATAAGGACTGATGCCAGGTTTTGGCCATTAGAAATACAACTACCATATAAAACTTGGCTATACAAAATTTTGTATGCATATATGCATGTATGTTTTTCTTGGGTTAATATTTTGATGTCTCTAGATCTCCAGTAACTATTTGGCTTTTGTGCTGTGTGTGCATGCACAGGGAGAACTAGGGTATGAGCTAAACACCTGTCCCTGTCCCTCAGGTTTTCACTCAAAGCTAGTGCTGTACCGCTCGAGACACAGCTCCACTTCCTGCTTTTTTTTTTTTTTTTTCCTTTGGTTTAAGACCAAGACTCAGGCTCAGTACCTGATGCTTTGCTCATTGGCTAACACTCTAGCAGTGGAGCCAAGGCTCCAACCCCAACTTCTAGGTTTTTTTCTGGTTAATTGAAGATAGATATGTCATGGAGTTCCTGCCTGGGCTGGCTTTGAATCTCAATCCTTAGATCTTACCTTCCTGAGTAGCTAGAATTATGGGTGTGAGTCACCACCAGTACCTGGCTTGTTTAAGAGACTTCCAGACTTGCTGAGAACCTTCACATACCTCACATACCTCCTAGCTATTCAAGAGGCTGAGATCCGAGGACCATGGTTCAAAGCCAGTCTGGGCAGGAAAATCTGTGAGACTTTTATTTCCAACCAACCAGCAAAAAGCTGAAAGTGGAGCTGTTACTCAGTGGTAGAGCACTAGTTTTGTTCACAAAAGCTCAGGGATATGGGCTGGAAAGGTGGCTCAGTGGTAGAGTGCTTGCCTCATACACATGAGGCCCTGGGTTCAATCCTCAGCACCACATAAGCAGAAAAAGCTGGAAGTGGAGCCTTGTCTCAAGTGGTAGAGTGCTAGCCTTGAGCTTTGTCATATATGTTTTCCATTGCTGTATCTTATTTTAATGTTACTAGTGCTCTAACCCAGAGGTCTCACACCACTATCTTATTTCTAGCTGCAGCCCTTCCATATATGTTTGTTGTTTGTTTGTTTTGTTTTTTTCTGGTGTCCTGGCTTGAATAGAGGTTCTTGAGCTTTCGGGTTTTTGTTGTTGTTTTGTTTTGTTTTCTTCTTTTTTTTGTTTTGTTCTGTTGCCAGTTCTGGCCCTTGAACTCAGGGAACTGGGTGCTGTCTCTGAGCTTTTATACTCAAGGCTGGCGCTCTACTACTTGAGCTGTGTAGCTCCACTTTTGCCAGTTCTGGTAGTTGATTGGAGATGAGAGTCTTACCAACTTTTCCTACTTGAGCTGGCTTTGAACCACAATCCAAATCTCAACCTTCTGAGTAGCTAGGATTACAGGTAAGAGGCTATTGGCGCCAACTGTTTTTTTTTTTGTTGTTTTGTTTTGTTTTTCTTTTCTTTTTGTTGGTCGTGGGCCCTGAACTCTGGGCCTGGGTGCTATCCCTCAGCTCTTCAGCTCAAGGCTAGCACTCTACCACTTGAACCACAGCACCACTTCTGGCTTTTTTTGCTTATGTGGTGCTAAGGAGTCGAACCTAGGGCCTCATGCATGCAAGACAAAGCACTCTACCACTGAGCTACCTCCCAGCCCGTGTTTTGTTTTTAATAAATAATTTTCTCATTTGTTTGGTAATACTTAAGTAGCATTTATTGCACAAAATTTTGGATGTTGTAAAACCATTAATGAAAGTGATTTCATTAAGAACATTTTTTTTTTTTTTTTTTGGCAGTCTCAGAGTATCATCAGCCAAGGAAATAAGAAGCTACAAATTAGAAAAGAAAAAGAAGAAAAGATTGAAAAGAGAAGTAATGGCGAAAGCAAAGAAAATCGGGAAGCAAAGTCAGATGGTCCTGGCGAAAACATTAGTGAGGATGAGGCTCAATCAAGCAATCAGCGGAAGAGAGGTCAGTTCTTTTTCTTTATTGTTTTTGGTCAGTTGTGAGGCCTTACCCTGGGTCTGGGTGCTGTCCCTCAGCTCTTCAGCTCAAGGCGAGCGCTCTACCACTTGAGCCACAGTGCCACTTTGGGCTTTTTCTGCTTATGTGGTGCTGAGGAGTCGAACCTAGGGCCTCATGCATGCAAGGCAAGCGCTCTACCACTGAGCCACCCTCCCAGCCCCTCTCTGTGTACATTTTTGAAGAAAGTTGTAGTAACAAATTATTTTAATCAGTTAATCTTGAGTAGTAACCAATATGATTTGTATTTCTTCAGAATCAGTCGTCAGTAATAGTAGCTCACTTGTTTTTACAACACTTATAAAGTAGGTTTCCCCATTTTCTGCATTGTA